CCTGGGCGCTGTCCCTCAGCTCTTCAGCTCAAGGCTAGTGCTCTACCACTTGAGCCACAGCACCACTTCTGGCTTTTTCTGCTTATGTGGTGCTGAGATATCGAACCCAGGCCTCATGCATGCAAGGCAAGCACTCTTACCACTGAGCCATCTTCCCAGCCCCTCATTTGCAGATTCTGAGCTTAATTCTTCCTAATGAAGCCAGTTGCTCTTGGATCAAACCTGTAATCATACATACTCAGGAGGCTGGGATCTGAGAATTCCATTTCAAAGCCAGCGTGGGCAGACAATATAAGAGACTCCAATTAACTAGCAAAATGTGGAAGTAGAGGTGGCTCAGTGCCAGAGCACCTATCTTAAGCAAAAAAAGCCATGTGAGACCATGACTTCAAACCCCAGTACTGGCATGTACATACAATCTTCCTAATGTTTTTCACACTGTAATCATTTAGTGTTTCATTTTGTTTTGCAGATCATGGTATGATTTGAACATAACAAATCAATGTTCAAATATGAAGATTGTTTTTAATGTGCTAGAATTACGTCGTTTTTGGGTCTGCATTTTTATAAACTTCATTTGTGCTGGGTGCTAGTGGCTCATGCCTGTTATTCCTAGCTTCTCAGGAGGCTGAGATATGAGGAACCTGGTTTGAAGCCAGCCTGGGCAGGAAAGTCTGTGAAACTCTTACCTCCGATTAACCACCAAAATTCTGGAAGTGGCGCTGTGGCTCAATAGATTGCTGTCTTTGAAGGAGGGAAAAAACAAGCTTGGTACAGCCTGTAGACCTTGGATTCAAGCCCCAGAATAAGTACCAAAAATGCATTAATAAATAAATAAATACACTATATTTGTGTGCTAAACATACCACTTCTAAAACAAAAGAATGCAAGGTTTTTGCCCTTGGAAAATTGACCAAGGAAAACAAATGTACTATCTTTTATTGGTTGGAACACCTCTTAACTGCTGTGGACTCTGTTTTAAATATATCTTTTTTAATGTTATTATTTTATTTTGTTGTTGTTGTTGTTGGTCCTGGGGCCTGAACTCTGGGTCTGGGCACTGTCCCTGAGGTCTTTAGCTCAAGACTAGCAGTCTACTACTTGAGCCACAGAACCAACTTCTGGCTTATGTTGTGCTGAGGAATCAAAACTAGGGCCTTATGCATGCAAGGCAAGCACTCTACCACTTTCCTTGCCCGGGCTGGTTTTGAACCGCGATCCTCAGATCTCAGCCTCCTCAGTAGCTAGAATTATAGGCGTGAGCCACCAGCACCTGGCTGTACCTCAGCTCTTCAGCTCAAGGAGAGTGCCTTACATTTGAGCTACAGCGCCACTTCAGGATTTCTGGTGGTTTATGGGAGATATGAGTTTCACGGCCTTTCCTGCCTTGGCTTTGAACGGTGATTCTCAGATCTCAATCTCCTGAGTGGATGGGATTACAGGCAGCACCAGCGCCCGGCTTCAAATTTCTTCAATTTATTAGTGAAATATATTTAGTCACCTTATTCAAATCATGCTAACCTAGGGGCTGGGAAGGTGGCTCAGTGGTAGAGCGCTTGCCTTGCATACATGAGGCCCTGGGTTCGATTCGTCAGCACCACATAAGCAAAAAGAAAAAAGCCGGAAGTGGCGCTGTGACACAAGTGGTAGAGCGCTAGCCTTGAGCTGAAGAGCTGAGGGACAGCGCCCAGGCCCAGAGTTCAAGCCCCACGACTGGACCCAAAAAAAAAAAACCACCTCATGCTAATCTAGTACTTAACTGAGAAAATTATGGAAGATAAGTTATTACTGCTGGCAACTGGAAAAGCTCCTCTGGAAAGGTATAGTGATGGTACAGAAAATTCTCTGAGTAATTACCATGTGGAAATAAATTTTTTTTTGGGGGGGGTCAGTGGTGGGGGCTGAACTCTGGGCCTGGGCACTGTCCCTCAGCTCTTCAGCTCAAGGCTAGTACTCTACCGCTTGAGCCACAGCGCCACTTCCGGCTTTTCTCTGCTTATGTGGTGCTGAGGAATCGAACCCTGAGCCTCATGCATGCAAGGCAAGCACTCTACCACTGAGCCACCTTCCCAGCCCCGGAAATAAATTCTTGTATGTGTGTCTGCCTGTTTTGCTATCTTTCATGTCTCACAAGAAGATGCCTCCAGGCACCAGTGGCTCACACCTCTAATCCTAGCTACTCAGAAGGCTGAGATCTGAGGATTGCAGTTCAAAGCCAGGCTGGGCAGGAAAGTCCGTGAGACTCTTATCTCCAAGAAACCACTTGAAAACGAAGTGGCGCTGTGGTTCAAGTGGTAGAGCACTTGGCTTGAGCTGAAGAGCTCAGGGACAGTGCCCAGGCCCAGAGTTTAAGCCCCATGACTGACCAAAGAACAAAAAAGAAGTAGATGCAGAGTAGAGTCAAAGGAATTAATATGTAACATGGGTTTATTTGATATCAGTATTTTTTTCCTCTTGAGATTAAACCCAGAGTTTTAGTATCTCTACTAAAACACACGTTTAACCCCAGGACAAGGCTCCTTAATTTCTTTTTTCTTTTCCTTTTTTTTTTGTTGGTTGCAGGACTTGAACTCGGGGCCTGAGCGCTGTCCCTCAGCTCTTCAGCTCAAGGCTTAGCGCTCTGCCACTTGAGCCATAGCACCACTTCCGGGTTTCTGACTGGTTAATTGGAGATGAGAGTCTCACGGGACTGGCTTTCCTGCCTGGACTGGCTTTGAATCATGATCCTCAGATCTCAGCCTCCTGAGTAGCTAAGCTTACAGGCGTGAGCCACTGGTGCCTGGTTAAGGTTCCTCAATTTCTAAATTGCACACACACACACACACACACAATTTCTAAATTGCATACACACACAACACACACACACACACTCGTTGGTCGTGGCACACACACACACACACACACACTCACTCACACACACTCGTTGTTGGTCGTGGGGCCTGGACGCTGTACCTCAGCTCTTCTGCTCAAGGTGCTCTACCGCTTGAGCCACAGGGCCACTTCCAGTTTTCTGGTGGTTTATTGGAGATAAGAATCTCATGGCGGGGCTGGGAAGATGGCTCAGTGGTAGAGTGCTTGCCTTGCATGCCTGAGGCCCTGGGTTCGATTCCCTAGCACCACATAAGCAAAAAGAAAAAAAGCCGGAAGTGGCGCTGTGGCTCAAGTGGTAGAGCACTAGCCTTGAACTGAA